TCTTATGGCCGCTTATCCTATAATCGGTGTGTCTCTCTCTTTCTCGTCATCATTGCTGTCGCATTTCTTCTCAACTTGGGTGGAGACTTTTCTTTTTCCGACAAAAAAACTAGGAAATACGAAACGTCGTTTACGGTTGAGTTATGACACATTGCGGCTGAGTTATGGTACATTACGGCTGAGTTATATTATGACTTATTGTAAGTTACGGCTGAGTTGTGGTTTTTTATTATAATTGTTCACGTACAGGAAAAAATATCTCTACCTCGGCGATTCCGGCGAAGAACCCTAATTCTCGCCGCTTCTCTCTCTCTCATCTCTTTCGTCCGCTTCGACTCATACCGACGAGTCTCTCTCTCTCTCGTCGTCATTGCAATCGCCTTTCGTTTCAACTCGGCTGGAGACTTTTCGTTTTCCGACGAAAAAACCAAAGGGAAATACGAAACGTCGTTTTCAACTTTTTGTCTAAGTTATGCCGCATTGTGGCTGAGTTATGCTACATTACAGCTGAGTTATGGTACATTACGGCTGAGTTATGCTACATTACGGCTGAGTTATGATATACTTTCTCGAGATTACAAAAAGTGTTTTTCGGGAAGACCAACAATAATTACGTACACATATTCACACGCACACGCATAATAAAGTCATAGAGTATTATGTTTTTAAAAAATTATTCAAAATCATTCAAAATTTGAATTCAAATTTTATAAACAAAATATTCAAAATAATTTAAAGTTTTTTGTCTAAATATAGAATAACACGTCACGGCTGAGTTATGCTACATTGCAGCTGAGTTATGCTATATTACGGATGAGTTGTGATATACATTCTCGAGATTACAAAAAGTGGTTTTTGGGAAAGATCAACAATAATTACGTACACATATTCACACGCATATGCATAATAAAATCATAGAGTATTATGTTTACAAAATATATTCAAAATAATTCAAAATTTGAATTCAAATTTTCTAAACAAAATAATTCAAAGTTTTGTGTCTAAATATAGAATAATACGTCACAGATGAGTTATTTACTTTTCAAGGTTGACAAATGACTAAAACTTTAATTTAAAGGGACACTTGAATGTTAACATTAGCACTGATTATGATAATGTAGAGATTAAATATATTATAATACAATTAACAAAAATCAATAACAGCTCTTTTACATTCTATATTTGATCAACTGTGTAGGAATAGAACATAAGTATAGTGTTTGGGGTTTATCGTTTTGTTGGATAAGTTTTAAAAGGTACAAACCTGAGCAAATTTTATGATTTGTTTATGGAAAGTTAATAAAAGTGTTAATTACATATTATTAAAGTGTTTTTATTACATGAGTGCATCAAATATTCACATCTATCATATTTGAGGTTTGGCCGAGTTATGCCAACGACATAGCTGACTTAACGTAAATAAATTTGTGGTTTGGCTGAGTTATGCCAGCGTCATGGTTGACTTACACAGACCATTTCGAGGTTTGGCTGAATTATTGTAACGATAAAATGTAGCTCATTGTTACATGATGGCTCAACTCATTCAATCTGTAGTCATCGAGAACCAACTTCACAAGCTTTTCGTGTGTTCTTTCAACATCTATCTGCACAACTCTACACCCTCTATCGTCGGCGTTAAAATACATATTTGTGTTTTTTACCCAATTACCATAAACAACAATTACTAGAACCAGATCCATCAACGAAAATGAAGAACAGAAATGAAGAACAGAAGTGAAAATGAAGAGCAAAAGTGAAGTGAAAAACAGAAAATGAAGAACAGAGTGTAAGAAAAAACACGAGCTAATGGGGGACCTTTCGTATTTCCCTCGTTTATGCTGACGTGGAATTGTGCATTTGAAGTCGTAAGTCAGCCACCAAACAAATTTTAAACTCAGCCAAAATAAATCAGCCATCAACACAAATTAAATCAGCCACAACATGAAAAATATTTAAGTAATTACTAAATGTTTTTTAAGATGCCAAATTCAGCCGTAACGTCAATAAGTCAGCCGTAACGTAAAATAAGTCAGCCGTAACTGGAGGCTATATTAGCAATAAATCTTTTGTCTATAAGTCAGCCGTAACATGGCTGAGTTTTCCGTTAAGTCAGCCAATTACGACTGAGTTATGTCTCTGAAACATAAGTCACCCGTAACGACATTTGATAACTCAGTCGTTGTCGATAACTCAGCCAACCGAAGAAAGTTAAGTCGGCCGTGTCGATAACATAACTCAGCCAAACTTCTGATAACTCAACCATCAGATTATAACTCAGCCGTAACGGCGGCTGAGTTATTAGCCGTTTTCTCATAACTCAACCAGATTTTTATAAGTCAGTCGTAACTGTTGGCTGAGTAATGATCGTAAGTCAACCGTTGACCCGAAACTCAGCCATTGTCCCATAACTCAGCCATAACGTGATATAACTCAGCCGTAACGTACGTTATGGCTGAGTTGTTGGTGGCACGCGCCTTTTTGTCTGACGTGGCAGTGGCATTTTTCGTAATTAGTTTTTTCCGGTAACATGTAAAAAGGGCACGCTGGTAATTAAAAAACATTTAAGGATAAAAAAAAGTTTTGGATGGTTTCCGTCAATACACCTAAAATGTAGTCCATCTAAGTAATTCTTTCTTTAAATTACCTCAACCAACACGAGACATTTTTTTCCTTTTACCGACAGGGACATAAACGTTTAGAGAGGTAATTAAAATTACCTTAACCAACACGAGGCATTTGTTTCATTTTACCATCAGGGACAGGGACCTTTAGAGAGGTAATTTTGATTACATCGACCAACACCAGGCATTTGTTTCGTTTTACAATCAGGGACAGGGACATGGATAGTTAGAGAGAGGTACGACCGAGACGTGTCAAAATGAGCTAGCTCGCTCAGCTCGGCTCAGATCATGACGAGCTCGGATATTTTATGAGCCAGCTCAGCTCAGCTCATTTATTATATGAGTTTCAATATGTAAACTCAAACTCAGATCATGTTGAGCACGAGTTAGATGAGCAAACTCGCGAGCTAATATAAACAAATATTATAATGGCAATAATTCAAGCTTTATTAAAAAAATCATAATAAATCCGATAACATAATGAAAAAATTAAACATTAAAACTAAATCGAAATAAAATAAATTTTAGCTCTCAAACCTTAAATAAAACCAACTACTAAAAGTTAAAACTTAAATTAAAATTAATTCAAAATAATAGAATGATAAAAAAAACTATTCCGGGTGAGAGTTTTGTTCTTGAGATGATCCAAGAGCAACATCTTCATCGTCTTCATCTGCAAGTAAATTTAAAAAATGAAAACTTGTATATACAGTTCATGCTAAGACATAGGCTAGCAAAAAAAAAATTGATGAATAATCATAATTACAATAATAACATACCATGGTCGTCCGTTGTAAAGCCAAACAATCAAGATCGGGTACAAAGCAGAGCCTGGACGTGTTTAGGAAGAAGACGACTACGATACTTATTTAAAACATGGGAACCAATACTGAATGATGATTCTGATGCCACAGTAGTTATAGGAATGCTTAGTATGTCGTATGCCATATAAGACAAAGCTCCAAAACGATGTATATTGTCTTTCCAATATTGCAAGACACACATCTTTGGGTGATTTTTCATCTCTAGCTTTGTTTCACTGAGATATATATCCAAGACTGATTTCCCTTCCTCTGTAACTTCTGGCATATCATCTAGATCAAACAAATCCTACAACATTTAAAGTCAAAACACATCAGTCACAAACTAACATGCAGTATGAAAAATAATTTAGATAATAATTAATTTAGGTAGAAAACTTACATCTAACATATCTGACTTGTCTCTTCCTTGCTTATTGATCTCACGTGCATTAGTAGAAGAAGCATTAGTGGTGCTTGCAGTCGTTGGATATTTAAGCAAGTAGTCATCAAAGAGTAAACGTAACTTCTCTTCTATGTGGTCCAACTTTTCTTTACACGTACTTGGATCAAGCTCTTCATAACAACGCTTTAGGAGTTTGAATTTCATTCTAGGGTCGAGGACAGCTCCCATCGCTAGACTGACACTATATTGATCCCAATATTTCTTGAACTTGATTCTCATTCTACCAGCCATGTCTCTGATATCTTTATCAGAATGACGCTCGTTCTCTTTTAGCAAACACTCGATCTTCCACACATTTACAAAATACAAGTTAGAAGTGGAATAACTTCTACCTAACATTAAGACCGTAATCTTGTAAAACGGCTTCAAAATCTCCAATATGTTTTTTGCTTTGCACCAGTCATCATTCGATGGGCAATGCTTGTAAGATTTATCAACCACTTTTAATCTTTTAAAAGCCTGTTAATACTTCAAATCTTTCTCAAGCATTAAATAAGTAGAATTCCATATTCCATCTTGTTGGAACATCCAAAGACAAAGTAACTACACCACCTTCTTCTAGTACACATGTCTCAAATGCAATTCCTCTAGCCTTTGTAGCTTTAACATACTTCACACTGTCTCTTATTTTAGAGAGAGCACCACCAATGACCTTTAGACCATCTTGGACAATAAGGTTTAGGATATGTGCACAACATCGCACATGAAAAAATTCACCTTCACACAGCAAATTATGATCTAGATTTAGACGCTCTTTCAAAATATCTTGCATAGTGTCGTTAGCCGTAGCATTATCCAGCGTAAGAGTGAATACTTTTTTCTCTATTCCCCAATCCCTTAGACACTCATGAATTTTAGTAGCTAAAGCTTCACCAGTATGTGGAGGAAGTATATCACAAAAAGATAGAATCTTATTGTTCAATAACCCTTTCTCATCTACATAATGAGCCATCAAAGATATGTATCCTTCACCCGAAACTGCTGTCCAACAATCCGACGTTAAACATATTCTGCTAGGAATATTTTCCAACTCTAACTTCAACTTCTCCTTCTCAGTCTTCCACGTTTTGATAACATCTGATGCAGCAGTGTTTCTAGTATATGAAATATAGTCTGGATTCATATACTTAAGAAAATCTCTTAATTCCTCGTACTCAACAGCAGAAAAAGGAAGATCATGTCTTATGAGGACTCTGCTAAATTTTTCCCTCACAATTTTCTGATCAATCTTTTTAGCACGTAGCTTCATGTCGGCATCAAGCATCATATTCCCTACATTCACACGTGGACATGAAGTATAATGACGCATCAAGTGAGTAATTCCAGTGTTCAGCACCATCTTATATTCCCTTAAACAATAATTGCAAGTAGCCTTTTTCATCTTCTCTCCAACTAGTTCAAACTTGAAATGTTTCCACACAGGTGATGTTCGTGCCCTCTTTTTTCTTGCACTTGAACCTGCTTCATTCCCAGGTAATGGTTCCTCGTCATCTGTAATGTGAATATCTTCCTCATTATCACTCATCATATTTTCTTCTTCATGCATTGCATCTGCTTCCCACTGCTCCATTAAACCTATATAAAAAAAATTCGTAATAGTTGTCAGAACTCAAAAAAGGATGAGATAAAAATAATTATTTGAAAGGTATATAAAACAATCATCATTAGATCACAAAAATTAATATGTAATTAATTAGGACGGGCACATCCTTTCTTTAATAAGTTGCTATTCTAAACCCTTCAAGTTGCACATCAATACATCATTATTGAAGTTTTTTCAAGCTACATCATAAATACTTATGTTGTTGAGTTTCTTGTCCGGTTTAGAAAACAATTGTTACAACCCGATTCTAGGAGTACAAGATATAATTATCCAACGCCCAAGAAACTTAATAAAACACGAATCAAAAACAAAGACACGTTTTCAACCCTAAAGCATATCACTCTGGCAACCACTCGAGTAAAGCAAGAGTGCAAGACACATTGTCCGCCGCTTCCATATTAACGTAAGTAGATTATAGATTCATATTAACGTACGTAGACTATAGATTCATAGTTACATAACTCAAATATGCATGACACAACGTCACAACTTACAACTTAATGACAAGTTATTTGAGAATTACCCTTATGATAGCCGATAGATATAAAACGAGAGAGACAAAAACCTAACTTGCTATTGAGATTAATGAAGTTTGTGAATTATGAGAGAAACGATGATCTAGGATGTGTTTATATGAGAAAATTTAGGTGATTTAATTAGGATAATTTCTATTTTTTTATGAAAAGTTTTATATTAATTTTTAAAAAGGATTAATTCTATATCGTTTAGATTTATCTTATAAAATTATCATGTAAAAGTAAAACACAAATTTTCCATTAAGATTATCTATTTTGTTTTATTTAATGGAAAAGATATATTACAAATATTCTATATATTGTAATATATATATATAATATAATATTTAGTTTAAAAAAAAAGTGGAGCTCATGATCTAGCTCATGTTCATTAAAGCTCGCTCATATAACTCGCGATCTAAATTGAGCTTGATCATATAACTCATTTATTAAATGATCCTAAAAAATAGAGCTCATACTCATAAAAAACTGAACTAAGCTGAGCCAGCTCGCGAGCTACGGCTCATTTTGACACCAATGGGTACGAGGCATTTGCTTTCAGCTCGATGACTATGAACCTGAGAATTTACCAAAATGGGAAAATCTCTTTAACATAATGAGACAATCTCTTTCTCATTAGCTAGGGACAGGGACATTTAGAGAAACACGAGGCATTTGTGTTCATTCTACTATCAGGGACATGGACGTGAACATTCAACCAACACAAGGCATTAGGGACATGAACATTCAGAGAGTTAATATTGATTACCTTGATCAAGAAGAGCCTGTTGTGTTTAGCTCCACCAAGATACTTCAGCAAAAGTGTCACTACTTCACAACAGTTACTTGAATTGGCATATGCATACTTGATGGATGATGGTGTGTAGTCAGAGAAACTCCCCTTTTGCGCCATATGTTACTAATGTTAAACTCCATCACTAAATTCAACATAAATCTCGAGTTAGTCCCATATCACAATCAACATATATTCATCTCTTGCTTATAAACTTAGTAAAGCTTTCGTAAGTATGAAGATTTATACTTCTTCCAACAACCACAACCATAATGCATTCTCAGTAATGCATAAATAATGTACCTCAACGAATCTGCATAAAAGAGATCCGCTTGCCTGATTGAAACAAAAAAATAGCAGTTTCTCTACTTCTTCTTCTTTTTCAATCTGCAGTCTCTACATTGAAAGATCTCTTTGCTTTGATTTCAGGAACCGAAACTGCATAAAAGAGAAAGAGAACAAAAAGTCACATAAATAGAAAGATTACATAAACCACAAACCTAAGTTCAATTCTCAGAACAAAAGATTCCAAACCCAATTCGTTTTGAAAGCCTAATTTGGATTTTAAAATTAAACCCTAAATTAGCTTCTCATATTAGATAATCGAAATCAACAAAGTTGAAACCCTAATTGAACTGTTATCGTTACGAAATCAAAGAAATTGAAATCAAATTCTCAAGTCCTAGAACAAAAAATCCAAACCCTATTCGTTTCGAAACTCTAATTTGGATTTATAAAAACCCTAATTTGGATTCTCAGATTAGAGAACCGAAATCAACGTCATTGAAACCCTAATTGAACTGTAATTGTTATGAAATCAACGAAATTGAAACCAAATTTCATAGAATCAAAAATTCAAACACCGAAGATGGAAGAAATTGAAGAACATACACTGGATTGGATCGGCGAGCCTCGTCTTCCGTCTCTCCCGTACGATCGAATGACTCCTCTGATGTTGCTGCTTCCATACTTAGAAACACAAAACCGAATCATGCCACAGAACTATGAGAGAGAGCGAGAGGGAGAGCGAGAGAGAGAGAAGAATGGAACTTAGGGTTTTACTATCTCGACTCTTTCTGTTTTATTTTGATTATTTATTTAAATAGAAGAAGAAGAAAAAGAAAAAACAATATTTCTAACGGTTATAAGACCATCTCCAACCCTAAACTCTTAAAAAGAGTATACAATAATATTTTATCATAAATTATAGTTAAATAAAAAGGAGAGAGAAAAAAAAAAAAAAAAAGTGAAAGAAAAAGAGATGAATGCCGAGAGGAGTGAGACAGAGAGAGAAAAATATTTCTTTTTGCCCCAACCAATAATATTATGCCACGTCCTTTTAGAACTCACTCCTTAAACTCTTCGAGCAAGGGGCGTTCTTTATCATTTACTTACAATTGCATTTATTTTAAATCAGTATAAACTCTAATTTTGAGTTAAGAATCTCCCTTTGGAGATGATCTAAGTATTTTGAATACCGAAAGAGTAAAAGGTCGGTGCAATACGAGATACTTAGGTTATTAATTTGCCTTAGAATAAATAAATAAACAAAATTAAAAAGATACGTTAGAAACTAAGTGGGTGTTATTGAATATTGTATTTTAAGGGAATCTGAGGTATTTTCAAATCTAGTGTTATTCAATTAAGTATTTTTAAAAGTACATTAAAATCTGCTGTTATTGGATAGTGTATTTGTTTAATGTATTTTAGAATACTTCTAAAACAATTGTTATTGAATATCCATAGGATTTCATGGTACTTTGGATTTTAACGTATTCCACTCTAAAAATATGAACAAATAGAATCCCACATAATTCTCAAGTATTTCAGTCTCTCTCTTTCTCTCATTCAGGATGAGTAAGGAAAAAAAAAAAGGATGGCTCTACCCAGGTCTGCTCTTACCAAATGATCACTGTTTCACACCAACCTGATTTCTTTTTATGAATCATTCTCTCTTCCACTCTTTTGTTGGTAATGGAGTTACCATCGTAGACCTATCTCGTTACCCTGAGTTCTCGGATGACGAATTGGAAACTGATACAATTTGTGTTAAGAAGTGATTCATCGATATGATGCCCAAAAACCTTTGATTTAATGATTGCAACAGAGACATGGTCTCTCCCGTGTAACTAGCTTCAGCCTTTCAACTCATTATACTGATATGGTTCCAAAGGTTTTGTTTTGAAAGACGTTTAATAACAATAAGGAGAAGTCATCGTAATGGATAGTGATGGGAACAATTAGTTAATTTATTAATTTGGATACAGTTAACATAATTTATTGGTAGTTTATCTTATTTTTATTTAACATAAAAAAATAAAGTCCACTAACAGTGACTTTCAAATCCTGTTAGTAATATCTTTCAAATCCACTAATGACATAGAAATTCACCTTAATCCCACGTTAAATGCATTTACAAATCCATTGAATTCTAAAATCCACTAATAATTCAAATCCATTAAAAACCTTCTTTCAATAACACCCCCTAAATTGAAATCCAAAGTAAATTGATACATTCACATATACCGCAAAATTGTTATGTTTTGTTATCGTTGGTTGATGATATACAGAAAATTATGTATATCTTAATTTAGCTGTATATTAATGGATTTATAAATAATCTTGTTGCTTGCTCATTCATCATCATGAACATTTTTATGTGTCAACTCATAATTTAGCTACCTCTGTTGTATGTTTAACAATTTTGAACAATTAACTCGACCGAATGTTTGGTATTTTACAACAAAAACATATAGGTAAAAGTTTTATATATATATATATATATATATATATATATATATATATATTAATCTCTAATCAACTAATTAACCTAAACCTTAAAAATCGCTCAGTTACTAAACTTCATCCTATCTCTCTTTCTTATTCAATCATAGGTAAGAATCGCCAAACCTTAACCAAACCAAGTGATAAAACCATAGTTTACCGTTGTCGGAGAACCCACTAGAGCATAACAATATATTAGGAACACGAGATAAAGCCAGCCTTTGTCCGAGAGTTATGACATGGTTATGGTTTCTATGGTTATCGTCATAAGATTCATGCCAACAACGCTGCGACGATTAAAAAACAACTTTACTATGGATGCGATGCTTACAAGAATCACAATGGTAGATTTAAGTAAGGGAATTGATATGTATATTATATTTTTTGAATATTTCTGAATTAATGTTTGGGAAAAACCCGAAAATACCTGGTTTATTATTTTTTTGGACGTTTAAACCTGAACTTTTATTTTTGGAAGAAAAATACATATACTAATTAACATTTGTTTAGTACTTTATTTAGGTTACTAATTAACTTTTATTTAGGTTTAAACGTATACATATACATATACTAAATACATATATATACATATACTAATTAACTTTTATTTAGGTTTAAACGTCCAAAAAATAATAAACGAGTATTTTTGGGTTTTCCCCATTAATGTTTTCATTCAGATTTGATAACATTAAAACTATACAGTATACAACAACAACAACAAAATTTGGTTTAGTCGTATATTAGAAAATGTATTTATATAAACACGACAAAAAGCAAAAAAAAAAAAATCGAGACCACCTTTTTTTTGAGCTTATGACCTTTCTTTAGAATGAGTGTCTTTCACTATGTTTTGAAGAGAATATAAGACTGGAAAACACTTTTCCATTAGCCGTTTTCTCCTGTTTAATTTTTTGAATATCCTTTTTAGCTTTAATCTTTAAAGCTTAAAGAATAACTTGTGATCAATATAGTTAAGGAAACATTTTCATGGACTCTTTGGAAAATTTAGAAGAATAAAAATCATATTTCTTTTGAAGCTATGTGTTTATCTCCTCTATAAAAAAACTCAAAAATGTATGGAAGATTGGTAATAGTAGGTGGATGCTCAAAAGTTAGAGGATGAAGAAGAGAATAGGGGAGTTAATATTAAAAAATCATCCTCCATTCCCAGCGAGACCCGTTGTACTCAGGTGAGGAAAGGTTGGTTAGCTCCCATTAATTGGGTCAAATGCAATATTGGTATCTCATGATCCAGCAGAAACAATTTGGTTGGGGTTGCGTGGGTGTTAAGAGATCATGAGGTTGGAGTTTTGTTACATAGGAGGAGAGCTTTGGCTAATGTAAGGGATATACATGATGCTTAGTTTAAAGGGCTCCTATGGGCTATTGAGAGTATGAGAAGTCACATAATGAAAAAAGTAACTTTTGGCTTGCAAGATGAGAGGTTAACAAAGATTGTTCCTAGACCTGCTGCTTGGCCTATAGATATTAGTCGATGGAGGTGTGTAGCCTTGGAAATAGTAACCGACCCAAAAATACCAAACCGACCCGAATCGAGATTTTTGGTTTTTTGGTTCGGTTTTGGTTAACCAGAGATAACCGATCTAATGGATGCATAAATTCCAATCGGTTACCTGCTCGGATCGATTCGGTTCGACCTAACCAATCGGTTACCCGAATTACCCCTATTACCCAGAATTAACCGAAATAACTGACCCAATATAACCGAATTACCCGAAATTAACCGAAATTACTCCACTTAACCAAGATTTTTGATCCGAGTTTACTAATCTAACCGAGACTCTTAAATATTCGGTTTATTTCGGTAAGCAAAAAAGTTAACCGAAAAACCCAATACCCGAACTGACATGTAATTCGGTTATTTTCGGAAACGTTTTTCAAATTCTAAACTACCTGAGTACCCGAATTACCCGACCTGTATTATCCGACCCAACCCGAAGTCGCATGCCTAGAAATATGTTATTTAATTTGACAAATTTAACTTTTAAATCATTGAAATTGATTTCAATTTTTGGTGAAAGAAAAACAATTAAAAATCGATTAAGGTTAATTTCGTCGGAAAAATAATTGAAAACAAAACACTACAGAATCCGCGTGTATCCGATTCTTCACCCACCAAATGTCAGATTCATGTCTTTATTTGTTTACGTCGGGTCAACGTGAAATCATATATTAATTCATAAATGTCTTAAACCCACAAACTTAATTATGAAGCCAACTCAGCCCATCAAAAGTTTCATCAATTCCTGATCGATAGCATTACAACTAATGCCTAATTATACTATTATCCATAAATTGATATGCGTATCATATATTTGCTAATCTGAAATAAGGGTTTATGTATTAATTATTTACTAGATGATGATCCGCACGTACGTGCGGGTGTATTTTCAAATCACAGTTTGTTGGTTTAGTTTTCTTAAATAATGTATTGTGATTTGGCTTTTGATAAGTTATTTTTATTTCATTTAGTTGAAGGATTAATGATTGCATTTTTTAATTGGATTAGTAGAATAGAAAATGTTGAATTGGCAAACGAAAGTTTATAATCAGAAAGTCTTGAAGATGGTATTGAAAGTAATGTAACCGAAGTCATACTTGGAGGAAATGAAAAGGAAAAATGCAGAACTATAATTTAAAGCTTCTTGAACACTTCTTTGAATACCACATTGGTTGTTTTCTTCTTTGGTTTGTTATCGTTATCAACGATGAGCACCTTCAGTCCCTTTTTGGAAGTAACTCTTGAGAGAGCAACGTAGAGCTGTCCATGTGAAAAACATGGTCTAGGGAGGCAACGACCAACGTTACTCAAAGACTGTCCCTGGCTTTTATTAATTGTCATGGCGAATGCAACAACTAACGGCAATTGTCTTCGACGCATCAAAAACATAAGCTTTGTGTCTGATGGAGATAACAATATACGTGGAATCAACACTTTATCTCCAACTCGATCTCCTGTTATTATGATTGCTTCTATAACAAACTCAGCCAATTGTGTGAGGCCTCCTCTAGCATTTATATTCCGTAAGAGCATAACTGGACAACCAACCTTCAACCTAAAACGATGGGAATTCCTGATACCTTAATGCTGTTCAAAAACTCCGGAGTTATCACATGATTTTTTGCAGAACGTAGATCAGACGGATCTATAGAATCTGAACTGAGATGTACTTCTTCTTCACCTGTAATAGTTTAAACTCAGTATCAAAAATTTAACTAAGCACAAATATTTTTGTTTTAAAAACTTTTACTAACCTTGTAGTTGATCAAGCATGTAGTCGTTAATAATGCCCACGTCTTCATTGGTAGGACACAAGAATGCTCTTTGTTGAAAGAATTCTGGATCACTCTCCTTTTGAAAAATTTGAGGATCTCCATAAACTAGTTTGCTAATCGCTTCTATAGGATCATCTGCATCAGTAATTAGTAACTCCTCTGGAATATCTATAAGAACCTCCTCATCATTAGGCTCTGAGATTTTTCCATCACCCACTGCTAGTATCCACTCTGAAAATTCCTGAATTTCCTTTGCCTCCTCTAAACTCAAATTCCCAGAACAAAGCCTCATATTCTTTGTAAGTCACAAAACTTTACAATGATCCCGAATATAAGAAGTGTTGAGTGCAGCCATACTGATTTCAGCTCTTCTACCACCTTGAATGACAGGTAAAACTTGACGGAAATCACCACCAAAGACAACAACTTTACCACCAAAAGGTTTGATTATTCACCTCTGTAGCTTCTAGTAATTCAGAAACAGTCTTTCTTCCCACACGATTGTAAAAATCCACCTTCTTTTCTCCTTTAGGCTGAACAGGCTTTTGCTGGATAAAACTAAGAGATAGTGTATCATTTGGCAAGCTATGATCACAAGAAGATAGTTCAAACATCATAAAACACATTAGTAAAGTTCGTAATCGTCGTATGAGTAGATTGCTGTAAAATTCAACACTATTCGGAATATAAGTGTGCGGTTCTCGTATGTCGTAAGCATACGAGATTGATCTTTGACCTAATAAACAAAAAAAATACAAACGTAAATGTGGGAAGAAAGAGTAACATTATTTAGCCAAGTACCTAAAATAATTTTTTTGCGACTAACCGTTGAACATGTTTATCTTTGCAAGACGAATCAAGCAATTAACTGGGATACCTTCTGACTTTTCACATTCATCCCACATGTTTTCAGCAAATCTCCCCCACAAAGTACAGGAAAAACGGTTATCACTGCATATTTTTGAAGTAAACAAATTATTAGAGACCAATAAACCGCACGTACAAAAGCAAATATCCATTATTGTTCAAATTACCTTGTGTCTCTGAGTTCTATCTCCAACTGTTTCGATATTTTGCCATTTTGATCATGAGTTTTCATAGCTCCAACTCTCACGACCTGTCCTAACACATCTGTAATGTTTTTCATATGCAAAGAACCATTAATATACGCACATACATAAATGGATAGCCGAATTCAAAAATGTAGTTTATAAAGCCGTAATCGCACAAGATCGTTTAACGGTTAAAAAATCTTACCAATCAAAATTTTCTCATTGAGACCATTGTCATCGAGGATGCTTCCAAAGTCAGCCAAATCGAGAAACATGTCATCAGATAGGATAGGTGAGCGGCCTATGACCGTCGTGTTAGTGAAGGTCATCTTGAACGCATGTTTAGTTGCTCTATTTTTCCCCATTGATTTAGTGAGCTGAAAATTCTCAAAAGTCCTCCACTCTCCTGACACAATCATTCTGTGAAACTTATTCACTTGTTGCTTCTTAACAGTTGCATGGATCAGTGTTCCCTGCACAATGATAGTATTTAGTTAGTATAAAAACGCAAACATATATTGAAATTACAAATAAAATATGAAACTATATTCAGACCTCCAGATCTGCAAGAATCATCTCAATGGTTACCCCACTGTAAGAAGTGTACTGCCTCCAAGAGTGTACAATCTTAGCTTGCACCTTCTAGGTTGTTTTGAATAGCTTAATCATAGCAAGGCTTGTGATGCCATTAGCTTCTGCCATTTTTTTGAGTGATAAAATGTGTTTGTCGCAAATAATCTTTTGGGAGAACAGTATAATAGGAAGACCTCATCTCTTATTTATATTAATAAGATTGGAACCTAGAATATTCTTGGTATTTATTATTTGCATTTATTTAGTTGTTATAGTTTGGTAAGTATTCGACATGTATTCGATATTCGAAACTGTTTGTTATGATTTTCTGGTTATTTATGAATAAAATTTCTTTATTATGTTAAAGAAAACATAGTATTTTAAAAAGGGAAGAAACGATTTATTGTGGTCATGTTCGGGTAATTTTGTAAGTTCATTGCTATCACTTTGAAATGTAGTTGATATGAGTAGATTTTGGAATCATTTTAATTGATTGAATGCTATATTTTAGGAAACAAACATTAATAGTAATTTGATTAATTTTATTTATTTTCAAAATTTAAGTAGATGATATTGAATTAGGAAATGAAAATTATTAGTGATTAGATTTATTTTATTGATTTACCAAATTTGAGTAGATGATATCGGTTTGTTATTTTGGGTAATTGTTGTGGAATGTGTATTTTGAAACCGATTAATTGCTTGCTTTATTTTATGAATGTAAGTTAAATATTTTATTAAATTAATTTATTAACTATATTAAACATTAGTCGATGAATCCAAACTAATTAATAAATTGTTTGCTATATCTTAGGAATGTATTTTAATGAGTGATTTAATTATTACGGTTATGTAGTTTTCTTTCGAACATACATATGTGGGCCTCAGACCTTATTAAAATTGGTCTGTCGACATTATAGTTTTTGTCTAACCCACTAAGTTTTGTTAATATACTTAATTTGGTTTGGTTTTTCAGTCGGGTGGATCCCAAATATTAGATCGGCGTGTTTTTTTAACTTTTTTATATTACCAGTTTATCCTTCTAATCAATGAATAAATTGTTTGCTATATCTTAGAAATGTATTTTAATGTTGATTTAATTATTATAGTTATATAGTTTTCTTTCGAACATACATATGTGGGCCTCAGACCTAATTAAAATTGGCCTGTCGACATTATAGTTTTTGTCTAACCCACTAAGTTTTGTTAATATACTTAATTTGGTTTGGTTTTTCAGTCGGGTGGATCCCAAATATTAGATCCGCGTGTTTTTTTTTTCTTTTTAATATTAACAGTTTATCCTTCTAATCAATGAATTTTATAATTATATTGGTTTTGTTTTACTTTTTTGATTGTATAAACTATGATTGACTTATACAAAATGCTTCTCTTTTAATAGTATAGATACACACGTGTATATAAGAAAAAAATAGCTATTAGAGAGAGAAGAAAGCTAGGTTACGTACATGGTTGAAGGAGGAAGGTAACTTTAGGAGGGAGAGGTGTATTGGTGGTTACGTAGTTACTGATATCAGGTTGAGGAGCGTAGGATGTCGTAGTGTAATTATGAACATTATTATACAGGTCTTGGAAAGGAGTAAGAGGTTTCACAGATTTGCAAAAGGGTATTAAATTAGCTATCATGAACCCTCTTGATGATCTCCTTCTGTTCATCTTTATGATTCACTTTGCTTGCATTTTTTTTTTCAAAGACGCATGGTCCTTCATCTTGCAATAATATCTCTTAGAAGCATCTTATTTTGATGACCATATATTAATTATACTATCATGGTTTATCTCTAAGACCATCCTCAATGCTTGATCCTTAAGGTGTTCTTAAGCTAATTTTGGTTAAAATTAAATACATAATACAACAAATTTTATAAGATACGTATCGTCCTCAATGCTTGATCCTTAGGCGTATACGTGGCACTTTCTGATTGGATGGTATGAAAAATATATAAAACATTTTTCTTTCTCTCTTTTTCTCTCATATAAAACGTCATTGAGCTATGCATGAATAATTGAATAACGATTTGGTCGAGCACATATGGACAAAATATTCTACAAATCACGTTTAAATTAATTGTGCTTTGTGTTTATGTTATTTATGCAATAAATTGTATCTCATCTATGTTTTAAAATTTTAATTTTGCAATAATTATTAAGTTTTCAAAAATTAAAATTGTGAATTTTTTAATCTTTTTTTATGTTTTAATCCTAAAGAACCACTACTTAAGAACCCACCAATATTCATGCATAAAAACATAAAAACTTAATTACACTTCTTAACATCACTTTTTCAATTAAATTACTAAAAAAATCAATTAAATTATTAATTATACTCTTATGGTCAACTTTATGTAGTATTATCAAGGATAACATCAAAGAAATGTTTGAAAGTTCTAATTGTCGATGAAGAGGGAGAATCACAAAAACAAACAAGGAAAGGAATGTTGTTTTGAAATAAGTTTTCAAGAGTCTGGGAAAATGATTAAACCATCAAAAATTGGATATTCAATCAAGGTATCACTTCAAAGTTCAAACTATACTCCCCTTCATTTATTTATTTATCTTTCTTCTATATATGTCTTATTTCTTATATGTTTCATTCATTGCCTGTGTAGGTTTAATTTGTTTACTCCGTAAGAGAATTCAATAAAGATTGGGATCGAGAGGGTGAAGAAGATGAACCACAAATACGAAAAAAACAAACCCGTAACTGTATTTTATTTATTTATTTGAACTCATTAATTGTATTGTGCTGTATTTGTTTGGAAATTTATTCAGATTTGTTGACCCAAATAGATATTTAACCGGTTTGGTATTAAAGAACATGATTTAATACCAAATCCAACATTTGAGAACTATTTTATTTTGATGTCTAAATATGATATAAATCTAACAATAAAACCCTATTATTTGTGTTACAAAATATTATTACATAAATATTAAAACAAAAGAAATTCCCTTCAATGCCATGATTTTAGTTTTCTTCCAAAAATACCACAATTTTTATTTTTCCCAAAAATACAACAAAATTTTTATTTTTCAAAAATACCATAAGCATAAAAAGGTAGTTTTTGAAGGTGTTGAATTTTTTTTTGTAATGTTTGGGTTGACTATTTATATTTTGAGTATAGTTGTTAGGGGTAGGGTTTAGTGTTTAAGATTTAGAAATTAGTTTTGAATGTTAAAAAACTAGTTTTAGTTTTGTGGTATTTTTGGAAAAATGTATTTTAGTGGTACTTTTGGAAAATAAAATTTGTAATGGTATTTTTGGAAAAATACATATTTTCATGGTATTTAAGACAATTTCCCTATTAACAAACACTTATAATTAATATGATGTTTAAAATACATTATTTAAAACTGCCAAATAGAATTAAAAATACTAAACGTCTAAATTAATTTTCAACGTCTACTGATAATTAGTTATACAATACGCCCACTCTAAATATCCAACAATTCGTAAACATATACATACCCGTTGTATACCGCAAACACTCCCCCATGTAACACATACTTATACTTTCATCTTACATCTCATCCAAATAGTTAATATATAAGACCGAGTATTAACTTTTAACAATAGCAACATATATCCAAAAATCACTATAGATAACATATGTAAATCATATCAAAATCTTGATTACCTTATCAAAATTAAAAAAACAAAGACCTGCGGTACACCGCGGGTCTCAAACCTAGTAACAAAATAAAAACTTAGACAGTGCAGCCACAGAAGAGAAAGAAGAAACAGAGCATAGAGACCAAGGCCTAACCAAAAGTTAGGTTAATGATTTAATTATAAGTAAAAATTCAGAATATTTTTTGTTGTTGTAATTTTCTATTTTTATCTATTTTTTACAAAATTATATGTGTCACATTCCGGCATCTAATGTATTACTTGACATATATGACAATCACGTGAGTTAGTAACTCTAAAAACCAAGTTTTACATAATAGGGGGAATTTCAAAAATACCCCTTTTCATATATCTCTTTTTAAAAATACCCTCTTTTCAAACTTTATCAAAAAACCCACTAAAAATGTTGAAATTTATCCAAATATGTGTGTAAACTTATAAATATATACACAAATTACCTTTATATGTGTATAAAACTTTATATACCTTTCATAAATAGCGTAAAAATAAATTATAAAAACCTTATAAAAACCTTATAAACCCTTTTAAAAACCATTTAAAAACCTTATAAAACTTATAAAAACGATTTAAAACTATTTAAAACGTTTTAAAATATTTGTATCGAATCTCCCAGTAGTATTTATTATATAGAAGTATCTTATAAACTATATAAAACTTTATAATTTTTTATATTTAAAAAGGGGTATTTTTGAAAATGGATACTTAAAGGGGGTATTTTTAAAAAGGGGTACACCAAAAGGGGTATTTCTCAAAAATTCTCTACATAATATGAATTTTCGAATTAACATTAAAAAATCTATTATAATTAGGTATACTTTTATATGTATTACTTATGTAGAATTTTTTATGACATGTTTATAAATTTAATTTTAAAATATTTTAATATAATTTAAATTTACACATGTCAACATCTTATCAATACAATTGACACATGTCACATTAATGACGAACTTATTTAAATTAACTTACTGGATAAAAATATTTAAATATTATATAATATTCACGATAATGCAAATATTTTTTAAGATTAACTTATTAACTTATTGTAGTTTTTTCTGGATATGTTAATTTTTTTTTATTACTTAGACCTTATTTGATAATTTTTATTAATAATTTTATTTTATAATGACTATCCCTTTTCGTTTAGGATTACTATTGAGTAATTGTTGAATTTCCTGAATTTTTATTTTCTTCTTTCTATTTTAAAAATATTATTTTTTTGAAAACTAATTTATATAATTTCTTACCACTAATTATCCAACACGTGCCAACATCTTATCAATTCAATTAACACGTTTCACGATTTTGTTAACGGCTAATTTTGAAAACCTAACTTTATATAATAAGATATTTGTTTTCTTAGAAAGCCTATACAAGTTTTTGTGATTATTTCTCCTCTTCAGCTAGAAATTAGAAAGCAAGTAACGTTTATATTTCTTAGGTAACCGAGAATATATCTTGATCATAATCGTTTATATTTCTTAGGAAAATCAAACAAACTCATAGAAGTATTAGGTCAGTAGGGATGAACTAGTTTTTTTAGAAAGTTGTATGCAAATTAAGAGAATCAATCATCTTCTCGACTAGGGTCGTAACCACCTCCATTGAGGAGAACTCATTATGAGTTCTCATCAATTGTTTTATTATAAATTTTGAAAATTTATTAGTTAAGAATCTCTTTCAACTTTTGTCTCTCCAATAGTAAAGCTCTCTAGTTGGGGTTCTTTCGATTTGAAAATGAAAAATGAACATGCACTAAACATGGATAGGTTGTTGTGATCATCATACATTTGAAACAACTCAGCAGTTGTCTTGTTCATTTGCTCACTATTCAAGTGGGCGTAAAACCCCTCTGAAAAGCTCTTTCCTTTTGTATATTCACATGAAGCACAAACACAACAATATCATACATGAACTTCTTATAATGATCGAAAAAAATCACCACTCCAACCTTGCGTTTTATTAGCAGCCATGATTGAGAACGAAATCAAAGCGCACACTACCTCACTTAACCGGGTCGACGACGAAGGACGAGAAGCTCCGGCGGCAGCAATCTTTTCATCGTTGACTCACTTCACCTTCCATCGTGGAACTCTTACCCAACAATTAAAAAATTAAAAAATAGAAAAATACAGAAAAAATCAGAGAGAGGACAGACACTGTATCTCCATATCTACCCGATATCTACGGATAGTCTGACTGAGATTCGTTTTGTTATCTAGAACCAAACCAAAAACCTTTTTCCGGTTCGGTTCTCTGGATCCGGGTTTTATGCCCAATACTAGTATCTCGTATGAGAAGTGGTGAGAGACTCTATAGAACCCCTTATCCAGAATCAAACCAAAACCTTTTTTCTGGTCCGGTTCTCTGGATCCGGTTTTTATGCCCAAAACTAGTATCTTGTATGCGAAGTGTTTGTCCAATAAGTTCATGTACTTTTCAGAATATTCAGGCTCTTACTGACACTATCATGAGAAAAATAAGGGATAATGTGAACAAAATCAAGAATGATCGATGTAAAACTATCCCTATATTATCATTGACCTTAGATTCGGTCAGCTAGCTAGTGTTTCATGGAACGTCCAGGTCTGGCTGCGGGATGTCTTTGCTTCTTGTTGATCTTTCTAATTTTGGCTAAGTAACTTCAATTAAATATTTATCAAACATATTACTTTATGTTAAAAAATAATTATGCTTTTTTTTTTAGCTAAGCTGAATAATTTTAAATAATATATAAGCATAAGAGCATCAGCATTGGTGTAATACCAATCTTGGTCCTTCCATTATTTATATAATATTTAGATCATAGGACTTTTAAAATTTTTGAGTGTAGGAGCATTGGTGTATCTAGTTATTTGTCCTTCTATTAAATTAATCATATTTTTAATTTTTTAAAATAATTTTTATAATTATATAAAAAACATGGAAATAAAACATATATCATCCCATTCATTGGATTTTATTATTACAAAGTTTATAAAGTAAAAACAGAAAAACATATAATTATGACATTATTAATATAAAACATCAAGCATATTTTCAATATATTTTCAATTTATTAAAATAATTAATTTTAATTAATAAGTAAAAACATATGAAATATTGATTAATATTAAACATAATAAATATTACAAAAGTACAAAAAAGATTAAGATGGAAAAAAACTTTAATCCTTTTTTGATATTATCATTATATTAGGGAAAAATGAACGCTGATATTATCATTATATTAGGGGAAAAAAATGAATACTCATCTCATGATCATAGCTGATATTGCAAACTAAATAACACTGAATTATCAATGAAGAAGGAATCATGTGAGTTGTACATGGGATGCAAGAGATGGCGTTGACAAATGCTGCGTAGTCGTGGATACGTGACAAATGAGTTAGTGCCACGTTGGATGAAGGACTTTATGAAATTGTCCCGTTTTAGTTAACGTTTCTTTGGTTTAATTGCATTTTCGATTTAAATTTTTATGGTTTATTGAGTAGGACTTTGGTTGAGTACGCGGATGTGCATGCTCTAAGAGTTTTTACATTCATCACCAAAAAATTGTGATGACTAGAGACTTCACCGTCAAAAAAAACATTACAATTATACATAGCTGCCGATTGGTGATGACTTTTAAGGCTTTAAAATTAAGGCTTTAAAACTATTTTAAAGCCTTAACAGCTATATTTTTGCCAATCAAGTTTTTTTACTTTGATTGTTTTAAAGCCTTTAAAGCCACTTTATTTGTTTCATTCTTTATTTTCTCTTTGTTTTTAAGCCTCAATATCACGGCTGTGAAACAAAAAAAAATTAAAAGCTATTTTTCTTCTCCCCATAATAATTACAAACTCTTTACGAATTTATATATATTTTTCTTGAAATTGTTTTTTGTAAATTAATTATCAGCATTATTTTTTTCTTTCTTTTAACATCCATTTCTCTTTATAAATTTATTATTTGTCACTATGTTACATATGAATTTATCATCATATATTTATAAAAATTATATATAATAGAAAAAAATATTTCATCTTTTATAGTTATTTTTGTTGACGATAAAATTTTAAAAAGTTAAAGTGTTTACAACAAAGTTTTTGCGGTCAAAGTCTCTATAGTGAAAATTTTTACTCTACCGTCACAAGTAACAGTCATTACCAATCGATCTCATAGTTATATTTCTTCAGTGAACACTTCATGTTACCATGAGGGGTAGCCGACTGCTACTTATGATCGTCCTTGATCCTTTCTTGTCACAGTAAATTAATTATCTAGTTTTTTATGTAAATAAATAGAAAATTAGAGATGCCAATTAATGTGAAAGTAACTCAGAGTATCTTATACAAAAATTAAATGACGAACTCATGATTTTCTGATTCTTGCTAGCAAAAAAAATGATTCTCTAATTCTCTCTAGCTTCCCCTCTCAAACTCCTTAATTGTTTTCATCTAAATTCTAGATTATGAAAACGAGTAGATTTTATGCTAAACACATTAAGAATCAACCATTAAGGCGATAATTTACTCACACATGATTAATGAAGAACAAGCAAAATGAAATGAAAAGACATAAAAAAGAGTAAAAAATGATAATGATTAAGAAGATTGTTCACTAGATTGCATGTGAATGAAAGACTTTCTCCATTGAACGTATATTTTAGATCCAAACATAAAATTCAAAACTTGTAACATTATTTTTATAGAAGTGTGGGCTGAACCAATCCAGATTAGACCTAATCGGATGTAGTTGAAAATGATAATTTAACAAACGAATGGTCGACCATTGGATGTTTAATTTCAAACCCCAAATATATGATGAAATTTAATCTCAAAATATTGTTAATAAAGATTTTTTTCTTCGTCCCAAAATTTCTTTTTTAATATATCCAGATTTTGTTAGTTATCCTATATTAATTATATTTATTAAGATCTGGTAAAATTTAATAATTTAAAAATTTTGTGAAGAAACTAGAACTTTTCTATATAGCAAATGTGATCTTAAAACATTCATTATAAAATCTTCGTCTTAAAAAAGCAAGTTTAGTTCTAATGTGAAACCTTGTGTGCCACGCGTTTGTGATATGTAGTAAAACCCTTTTGACCTTTTTGTAATAAATATCTAAAAAAATGGCACTAAAAATAGCATAATGATACATATATGGAAGTGCGTATTGTCGAGAGGTGAAAAGAGGCACGTATAATATCCCACTAAGTAAAAACCACTGTAAACATGAATAGCAAGAGAGCAAAGAGAGTGCATGAGTTTTCTTACAAGTGATCATCATTATCAGCTTTGTTAGTGCTTATAGAAGACTATGTTGCGTATTCATGTCGACCAAGGAGTCTAGACGCGTCTTTAAGAGTCTTTGAGTGGTTTCATCTTTTTTTCAAGAACCTGTGATCTGCGAACACGTGTGTGTGTTTGTAAATGAGGTTTGGGCTATAAATAGGGTTTCTCGCCATGGTAAGTATAAGCAAATATCTAGTAGTACTGATCGATAGAACTTATCATATTGTTTAGAAATATTTATCTTTTGATCTATCATCTTGTGCGTGAGTGTATTTTAAGAAAGAAAGAGAGTAAATATGGGGAAGTTCATAAGAAAGGCTTGGGTAGTGGGGTGTGTGATGGTGTTACTGATGTCGACTCAAGTTTTGGGAAGATTATATGATACAGATAGTCATGGCGGTGGCAAAAACCGACATAAGAAGCATGGAGGAGGCAGTCATGGTGCTGGAGCTGGTGGTGGTGCCGGTGGAGGTGGAAGTGTTGGGGTTGGTATAGGAGCAGGAGGTGGTGCTAGCGGTGGCATTGGAGTCGGTGGTGGAATTGGTGGAGGAGGAGGTATAGGCGGTAGTGGAAGTGGTAGTGCTGGAGGCCATGGCGGTAAACATGGTGGTAAAGGCCATGGTAGTGGACATGGGGGTGGTAGTGTTGGGGGAGGAGTTGGTGTTGGTGGCGGAACTGGTGGTGGTGTTGGAGGAGGAGTAGGTGGCGGTGTTGGAGCCGGAG